GGCTGAACCGGACCTCTGCTTCCTCTTTTCTTCCAGGGCTACGTAGTGATCATGACAGACCTGCAGGCAACCGTGAGCTCCCCGCAAGATGTGGAAAGCCTTCTGGAAGTCAGCAATCTGATCGAAGGACAAATCTTCCAGTTTTTCTTGAGATAATATCGAGATGAGAAGAAAAGCGATCAATGACGACAAACAAGTGTTTCCTGTATTCAAATAATAATTTGGCTAAGTGCTACTCCTATATGCTCCAGTCCTGCCCCCCACCCCGCGTCTTTCCCTGTCCAGATATAAGGGATGTCACCAGCACACCAAGCCGTTTGTGTTCAGCAAATGTCCATGATAAAAGTTGTCATTCAATTGCAAGTACTTTGGGGGCCTCGCTGGATCCCCTTCATCAGGCTCCCCTGTCCAGAGCCGCCCGTCTTTTTGGGGTTAAATGACAGCAGGCTTTGGGTAATATTGGACCAAAAAAACCAGAACACGGGTAAGAGCCAAGCGAGGAATAACAGACACCACCGCGTATAGCTCGGCTTCATATTAGTAAGAATGATTGCACCTTTGGAGCCGTATAAGACAGATTGCCATGCAATCGATGGCGCAGCAGTCGATGGAAGCCCCGCTGGAAGGCATATCGCATCTCTCGGCAGCGGCATTTATTAGGCAATGATTTCCCAATATCTGATAAATAAATCATCACAAGGAGCCAGCGGAGAGGCCAGGAAAACATAACACGGGAGCCACTTTGAAGTGAAGGATGGCAGAGCGCTCGGGGCCTTCGTATTAAAACAGAAAATCACGCTGACGGACGATAGCGGACCCCACAATAGGTCAATCCCGTTAATATTTATCAGGGAACTAACGGGGTATGGGACTGGAGGGGCCGGGCTCTAAAAGCTTAGAAATGTCTGCAATGATTCACAGGGTTAGGCGTATTTATGGTCAAAACTTGTTTTTAGGGAAGGGTTAAACCCGTCAGTTTGTTTTTTGCTGCCTGTGTCCTGTGAAGGAGATGTCCCTTAAAGTGGAACTCCAGGTATGATCATTTGTGGGTGTTTACATGGGTCCCGTTGTAAAGCTCACCACACACAGGTTACAATCTGATTGCGCAATCTCCTTTAGACCTACCAACACCTATGTAGTAGGGCCGACCTGATTAGATCCAGACTGGATAGATTAAGCAGGTCCTCATATTATATAGTTTGGGTAAATCTAAAATTGATTGTACAGAGATTGTATATTGTGACATGTGTGGTGCCCATGAGTATCCACATCTGATCTCCGGAGGGCCACCAGGGATGCTGGAAATCACTCCAGGGCTGCATACAGTCAGCGCTGACCTCTTCCAGTGGTAGCCCCTGCAGCTTCCCCTCTGCATACTCAGCACAGGGAGTCGCTCGCTGGGCGCCACCGCCGTTCTGTATTTTTATCATTGCATTCAAGGCATCTTCTGATTGGATGAGTGGAGATCCTAACGTCACCTGCCCCTCCTCTCCACCTTATCCAATCAGCGTCAGAGAGAAGGTGGGTATTTCAGCCAGAGCTCAGCTTTTCATTTTAAATGCACCTGGGGGAACTTTCTTGATTTTTACCTAACCGGGAGAACTCCGGAGAAAAATCAATTCTTAACCCTTGCCGTGGGGCCATCCCTGCACTGCAAGTGTTAAGAATTGATTTTTCTCCGGAGTTTTTCTTTAAAGCGTTTGTTATTCATGATGTTACATTTTTAGCCTGATCATCCTTGACTTTAATGAGTTTTTAAAATTAAAAGGTAGCCTATGACACCGGTAATTCTTGTGAATTCTTTGGAGCTCTTCCACCAGAGTCACAGTTGGCGCTTGTTGGGGCGAGATTACATGGACTCTTTCGCCACCTGGTGGTCAAATCTGATATGACATCACACTCAGAGTGAACTCAACCAGGAGCATGGTCTTAGAAATGGATGTACCTACCCTACAAGAGTCTTCCGTTTCATTCTGTAAAAGCGTTCAGGGAATACCCTTCATGGGGACATAGACAGGAAATGTTTCCTTATTACGGGTATTTCTACAGCGCCGACAATGTACACAGTGCTTCACATGGTGCACAATCCATCAATAAAAACTTAACAGAGACTGTAATCAACGAGTGGGCAACTCCGGCCCTCCAGCTGTTTAACTACACATCCCAACATGCCTCTGGCTCTGGGAGGCATGCCTGTAACTAACAGTCGTGCATTGCCTCATGGGACTTGTAGTTCCACAACAGCTGGAGGGCCGGAGTTGGCCCCCCCCCCCCCCCCCCCCCCCCCCCCCCCCCCCCCCCCCCCCCCCCCCCCCCCCCCCCCCCCCCCCCCCCCCCCCCCCCCCCCCCCCCCCCCCCCCCCCCCCCCCCCCCCCCCCCCCCCCCCCCCCCCCCCCCCCCCCCCCCCCCGCTATACTCCTTTCTTACTCTACAATAATGTGTTTTAAGTGATATCCATGTCCATGTTGGGGGTCGTCTTCCTTCACTTCCTGGTCTGTCTGGCAACGGTTATGCCAACAGAATGTGGGTGAGATTTGCTCCTATTTCCTCTGCTGCCTTATACTCGTCAAATAGACAGGAATTGAGGAGAAATCTCCCACATGTGGAAACATGCAACTGCTTGATGTGATGACGATTCTCGATTTCTCAAGACTACATATCCCATCATGCATTGCTTCCAGCAAGCAATGATAATGTTACTTTGTTCAGACGTTGGTGACACATGGAAGTGTATATTCCCAAGGCACAGAGTGATATTGTGTCAGGAAGTACATCCTTTGGCCATGTTCAATAAGTGAGATTTACAATTATTTAAACTATGCAAACTTACTTTTAAAAGATTTATATTTTTCCCCCATTTTTTAGCTTTACTTCCTTTGGGGGGACTCTAATGAGCAGATTAAACCTTTCCGGGAGGAAGTGTCACTCTCCCGGGCGGCCAGGAGCCCTATCTAATAGAGATTTGGGTTGTCTGGGTATCAGAGGTCACTGCAAGTGCTGTCCTGTTAACTGCATCTGTGTCAACACTGGAGAGACTTCCCTTTCACTTCCTGTCCCAACAGGAAGTGATGGGTAATTTTCCCACCAGGAACATAGACTACAAAATGTACCTAAAAGTTCTAAACCTTCCGCACTCTGCGAGGTGTAGTGCAGAAAAAGGAAATGGTGTCATGGCCCGAGTGCCTTTCACACAGTGGTGTCCCAAACCCATAGTGCTACACAAGCACCCCCAGGGCCCAACCCCGGGCGGTACTAGTTACCACGGGCTCTCCGCCTCCCCAGCCCATGACTAGACCAGGCAGACCCATTCAGCCCTGCCAGATTCTGGACACTAGGGAAGTACTCTCGACCCCCCACTCTTATGTGAGTGGACCCTCAATTTGGATTCCTTCCCACGGCTAGACCACCATCATCTCAGGCAGGGTACTCTACAGCCAGCCATTCCTTCCATAAGGCCAGAACAGAGGCATATTCACTGCTCCTGAACATTGATACTACACTTCATCTTAGCCAATAGGCAGATAAGTGATACAAAGGAGAACTGAAGCCAAAACCTTTTTTTTTTTACTTTTTGCATAGAGTAAGGTAGGTTATAACCCCTGTCAGCTTTCTTGCCACCTTTGGGCAATTTTCATTCACTTCCTGTCCAATAGCCACAACAGGAAGTGAGAGGAAATCCCTCCAAAGAGAGCAAAACCCTTGAAGGTCAGTAGAGTCACCAGAACGAGTTTTCCCATATTCTAGTGACAGCCCAAAATTGGGGATTTTCCTTCATTTTCGTTGATAATGGTCACCAGGACAAATGGAGAGGGACACAGGGGACACAGACAATAAAAAACCTGACACGGGTTCTAATCCCTCTTCACTCTGTCCAATAATAAAAAATAAAAAAGTTTTGGCTTCAGTTGAAGTTGTAAAGAATTTATCCATAATGAGTCATCCTGTAATAGGGAAGCTTATAAAACCTTTTATGTATACGCGGCTAATCACCTTATCCGTGGAAGCGTGTTTGCATATGATAAGAGAGGTGTAATCACAATGGAAGCCGGACGAGGATATAAAAGGGTCACACACTCACCTAGAAAAAGGACAATATTGTGTTATATAAAAGTCATCCTAACCGCTGACACCTAAAGAATGGGAAACACCTCCGGATATAAAAAAAAGCGAATCATTCGTCAGACTTGCTGAGCAATAACTTGATTGGTCGGATGCCACAATAATCATGACTAGAGAAAATGTAGCGGTGATGGATTCAAATGTAGGAGTATGAAGGAGTGAAGCCAGAGGACAAACTGGACACCAGGACCCCATGACAGCCCTGGAACTAGCAAGCTCTGTCCATGGTTATGGTTAGCAGCTGACCAATCTTGCTCATAACAGGTTCCCTTTAACCCTTTCGCTGCCAAGCCCTCCGGAACATTTTTCAAATCAGCTGGCCGAGCCATTACGTCCTTGGCAGCGAGAGGGTTAAACCAAAGTGGACCTGGAGGCCAATAAGTTCTTACCCTCACCATGATCTAGATGTGCTAGGGATCTGACATTTTGCAGGTTTATAGGTGGATATCTTAGTGATATGTATGCCAATTTTTGTTCCTGTAGGTCGTGGTGAGTTATAGTTAGAGCCAAGAGAAATGGAGTTGGTGTCATGCCGGACAAAGTTGAATACCGAGCCGTGTGTTGCTGCTGGCTGACATCATTTCCCCCTTTGTTTCTGCCCCGGTGACAACCACAATATTTTGGATTTCCCATCACTTAATGTCTCAGTGACAATGGGAGAGAGAGAGAGAGAGAGAGAGAGAGAAAAAAGATACAGACAGCCACAGAAATAAAGTTTTACAGTTGTAACCATAACAGGAGGCGACAACATATATTCCAGTGGTGAATTCTGTTCAAGAGGAGCTTTCACACAGGGCACCCAAAGGGGGTGAGGGCAAGTCTTAAAATGGGGATGCCTTCTCCCATGACAACTGCCAATTTAACGCAATACCCCTCACTTTGGGGAGATGCTGTCACTTCCTGTCACGTTTCCAGGATAGGAAGTCAAGGAAATCTCACAATGGAATGCAGCAAGAAATTAAACGGGTTTTAAATGTTCCCTTCTGTATCCAATGCTGTATGTGCGTTATACACATTTTAATCTTCTTACTTAACAAGTATATCTAAACAATACAGTTCCTCTTTAACTCTTCAGGTCATACCTACAGTGGCCTCAAGTTCCACCTCACAAGGTCCCACAATGTGACATATATAATTTCCTAGTAGACCACATCACAAGGCAGGGAATCCCTTGAAGCCAAACGGTAGAGTTCTGTAAAAAAAAAAAACAATATAGGAGTTATAAAATTATGGAATCACAGACTGGATCTGACAGCAGCTTGACTCACCAAGAAAAAGTATCAATCAATCATATGAATCTATCTGACAAATAAAATGTATAGTGGAGGCATTAGGCTCCACTGTTACATGAATGCAGTGTGGAGATTATTATTATAATTATACAGGATTTATATAGCGCCAGCAGTTTGCGCAGCGCTTTACAATATAAGGAAGACATTACAATCACAATACAATTCAAGGCAAGATGGTAAGGAGGGCCCTGCCCCTGAGGGCTTACGATCTAAGAGGGAGGGGCCAGTGATACATGAGGAGGTAGCTGTGTGGGGATGAAATGTTTGAGAACGTGATGGTTCAGCGGTCAGGTTGAGGTGGGGTAGGCTTCCCTGAAGAGATGAGTCTTAAGGGATCGCCTACAGGGAGTCAGAGTGGGAGATAGACGGACAGGTTGGGGTAGAGAGTTCCATAGGATGGGAGAGGCTCTAGTGAAGTTCTGGAGGCGAGCATGGGAGGAGTTGACAAGGGAGCTGGAAAGCAGAAGGTCATTTGAAGAGCGGAGGGGACGATTCAGACTATTTCTGAGCTCTATTGGCGACCTTCTCTTTATCAGGAAATCACCAGCACTCAGTAGTAAAGATAAAATATGTCCCTATTATTGGACAGAAAGCGTCACAGACATCCAAATAAACCGACGTTTCGGGGCCGCGCAGGGTCCCTTCCTCAAGGCAGAAAGATGTGACCATCTGTGTTTGCACGGCGCCATCCGTGGTAATTCATCACTGCGAGCACCACTTTTTTTCTTATCTGGCCAGGACTGCTGTGGGGCGTGCGGAGGGTCTCCCCATCGACTTACTTCTCTCTATCGGGGCTATTCTCAAAAGGGTGAAGAGTTAGGAGAAGGCGGGAGGAGAAGTGAATGATCTAGGACAACATAGCTGAACTAGGAAGTGAGCTGAATTGGAGAATTTTTTCCAGTTCAGCTATGTTGTCCTAGATTGTTCTCTTCTCCTCCCGCCTTCTCCAAACTCTTCACCCTTTTGAGAATAACACCGTATGTCTCTACGTTTCTATAGGCCATTGGAATGAACCATGACACTCAGTGAGGGGGACCAACAATCTGACACTCCCGGAAGCGTGTCAGATGAAGAATGTGAAGGTTGGCGGTGTGGGCAGCATAACAGGTAGGTATAATGTCTCTACCTTTCTTCTACATTTTAATTTAGCAAAAACGCCCCTTCAGCTCAAATAATTCAGTCGTGTTAATGTTTTAAAAGCCGTCTTCCATTGTACAGATGGACAGTAAATATAAATAAACATGGGGGCAGCCATATTTGCTCATTAGATATGCAGAATCTGCTTAGAATTGCTTCAGTACAAGTTAGGTCTGATGGACTGAAATAAAAAAAAAAATCAACCACCCCGTGTAGTTTTATCTCAGCGGCTGCGGTTTGGAAAGGCTGTGTGACTTTTGGTGAAATACAGGGAACTTCCAGCTGGCCAAAATCTGATTAAATTCAAGCCACAGGTGGCCCTTGTCGGTACCCCTGGGCTACGCAAAAAGTCCAGGGAGCCGAGTGGAAAATTGTCAGCTCTACAGTGTATTCAGACAGCCGCGGGTGAATATATATATAAATATTGGGAAGATTCCTCCGTCCATGCTGTTTAATTGACTGATTTCTTTTGTTCGGTTCACGGGGCTGGAAAAAAAAAAAGAGATATGTATATGTGTGTGGCTAGTTTAGGGAAGAATCAGCATCTTTACAGTACCAATAAAATAAAGGGGTGCAGTTTCTATCTTAATACGATGCTAAGATGGATGCTCCACAATGATGTCATGGCGGCAAGTATCGTCCCTTTAAGACAGACCATCTGCAGTGCAGTCCATTCAGCCACCCTCTTCCCCCCGGGATCAGGACTTTATCTTGCATAACATTCGCTTTATTGACCTGATACATTCTATCAAAGATATTATGCTGCATATCCGTATTATAAATAATTCTTCATGAAAACCAGGTCAGGTTTGAATTTTTAGCTGCTATTACGGGAAACTGGACACAAAGGACCCGTCACAGAACACAGCTAATTGAATTTACTTCTGCGTCACCGAAATGTAACTTCAATAATTCAGATAGATGGCAGTAATGGGAAGCGGGGGGGGGGATGTAAATCATGAATATAACATTTTCCTCTTCTGTCTGATTTCCTGCATCTAACAGGTTAAGGGGGGAGGATGGACTAAAGGCGTCCCTTTCATGCTGCGTGTCCCAGAATGCCCTCCTTCTGGCTTTCTCTCAAAATCTGAGTCTGGCTGCACTCCCAGATCCTGCGAGCCCTTCTCCATTTTGCAGTCCGTGCAGCTAAAAGCCCGGTCACCGTAAGTATTGTGGCTGCAAAGCCTAGGGGGGGTCGGGTGTCCCCTAAAATTCGCGCTGATAGAGGTTCTCGCCCTAAGAGTTGGGGGAGCTTTGGGACCCAAGGGATTACTTTTTTGGGTTATTTCATGGATTGGGACAAGGCTACCCTTGTCCTGGTCAGACCGTCGGTCACTCTGCACACAAAGCCCCTTTGATCTGGAACATGGAGGGGCTTCTGCAAAAGCGAAGGCTGGAATCTTCCTCTCCGCAGCAATCCGCTAACATCTACTGACAGTTTTTTGACATTTTGGTAATTTTAGTAAACTTTACTAAAGTGTAAAAAGTATTGAATCGAAATACTGTATTAATACATAGAGTATTGGATAACAATGCAAAAAAAGAATACCCAAAATGTGCCCACTTTCCCATAGAGCGAACACTTTAATTGCTATAGAGCGTGGAAGGAAAAAGCTGTAGTCATATTTGTCTGTCGGGTTCAGCAGTAGACGTCCTGTCCTTTCCCGGCTCCCAGAGGTCAGAATAATGAAGTGTTATGAAGTGAAGCACCGGCGCCAATTCATGGACCTGGCACGAAGGCAGCGCCACGCTCAGGCGGGGAGTTGTGTCTGCTGGGAACAGATGATGGGAACAGATAATTATTCCCATGCTACAGGCACCGAGTACATGTCCCCAAACTCGATGACAGGTGATGCAGGAAGGAACAGCGCTGAACAAAGACTATAAATTATAACATGAAGATCGGGAACAGAATGTCTTTGTGCCAGTTTGTTAGTAAAAGTGTATAGTAAGTGCAAACACCACAGATCCTGCTTCCTACAGTACTCCATTTCGGCCTATGTCTACTGGCTGCTAGAGGTCATTGGCTGGCTTATGAAAGTACACTAAAAGGTACATTTTAACATGAATACACCCCTACTGCCCTCCCAGTACTTTAAATTGTTCATCCAGGCGTTTCTACAGAGTGGCAATCTACACAACACAGGTCAGTAATCTGGGAACCCCTGCTTGTGATGCAGGGGATGAATTCCCAGATACGCCCCCCAGGATCCTTGCTGTTATTCTCATATACAACGTATGATGTGAAATTTGTCAGCACCAAGATGCTCTTTGCAGCCAACAATCTGACAGAAATTGTCGGAGTAATAGGCGATATAAGGAGCATAAGGAGTAATACAGCACAGGCCGCATGAAGCACACTCGCAGTGACCCTGTGAGATCCTCTATAGACTCTGTCTGCAAGGGAAGACATGGAACTTTCTAGGGTGCTGCCATGTTTATTGGCTTGTTGGAGTTTTGCTCACCCCGTCACATGCACCCCTTCGGGAGACTACAAGCAGCCGGCCCTTGACAGGAGTTCTTGGTAAGGACCATTCAATATTGCACTTTCATTGTTGCTTCCCCAATTTCATTGCGGAGATATTTCCTCACTTCCTAACCCGGTGATACCCATATAAGAAATGGGGTTACCCATATGAGAAATGGGTTTGCAGTCATCGGAGGAAGGCAAAGACAGCAATTAAAACCCTTCTTCTAACCCAGGGGTAGCCAAACTCCGGCCCTCCATCAGTGGTGGAACTACAAATCCCATGAGGCATTGCAAGATCCTCACAGCCACGTCTCCCGGAGAGAGATGCATCATGGGATTTGTAGTTTCACCACAGCTGGAGGGCCGGAGTTTGGCTATCCCTGTTCTAACCCCTTCTCACTCTACTAAAAATGGGCAATTGGAGAGATTTCCTGTTCGTTTCTGTCCAAAGAGGAAGTGACGGGAAATCTTTCCGGCAGGCACGCAGACAGCAAGACGAACCTGCAAGAGGCCCTTTCCAGCTCTATCCAAAAATCTAATAAAACGTTTAGGCCAATGTGAATGGTACATCTTGGGTCCAAATTTGCCCATTCCTGTATTTCAACCCCTGCATGCAAGACTTGCCGGTGCTGCCCACTGCAAACAATCCTATTCTCATTTTCTGTGTGGTGAAGGCAGAATCGTCTTTTATTGGGAAATTCAGACCATTCTGGTTTTTTTTCCAGGCACGAGACCCGTTGTGACTGTTCTGTCTTCCTTTGCAGATGTTATCGGTCCTTGCACAGAGGTCGCCCCTTGTGGCCAAGTTGAGGGTTTTGGGAGCCGCCAGCGTACGAGCGGCTCACAGCCACGAGAGCGCAGGTGAGTGCTGGCAACCTGACAGAAGAGTAGAGAGGGTGACAGGGCCTGAAATAAAGTGTGAGTCACAGAATGAGTTAAGAAGGAATGTGACAGAGAAAGTGATATACAAGCCTGAACGAGGTGACCGCCTCCTTCAGCAGAGTGAAGGTCACGGGATCCAACAGGAAAAGGACAAGGCAGGGGACAAGGATCGATATTTATAGGATAGAGGACAAGGTGACATCATGATGAAGTCACCTTGAATAAACAAAACTGAACACAGAATGAGGTGAGAAGGATTTCCTGTGCGAGAATAGTAATTGCAGCTGTATAAAACAAATGGCGCAGACGATACATAGTATTTGAGGTTGAATAAAGACGTAAGTCCATCAAGTCCAACCTATTGTGTGTATGTGTATGGTCCTACTGGTGTGTGCGTATCTATCGGTCCCTGTATGTTCTCATTCTTAACAGTACTTGTACCCCTGTATATTACGGTCCCTGAGGAAATCGTCCAATCGCCTCTTGAACGATTCCACACTCTCAGCCGAAATCACAGCATGTGGCAGCGAGTTCCGGACCCTGACTGATCTAACCCGAGAAGAAACCCCTTCGCCCCTTGTGCTGACATTTCTTTTCTCCACCAATTTTAGGTGGTGGCCTCTCGTCCTTGTCATGGAGTTAATGCAGCTCACAATCGCAAAGAAACCAGCTTGCAGCTTAGACCAGTGGTGGCGAACCTTGGCACTCCAGCTGTGCCAAAACTACAAATCCCAACATGCATCTGCCTCTGGGAGTTATGTCTGTGGCTGTCAGAGCCTTGCAATGCCTCATGGGACCTGTAGTTCCAAAACAGCTGGAGTGCCAAGGTTCGCCACCACTGGCTTAGACTATAGAGGTTCCCTGGTTAGATCTATAGGGAGCGGAGTTCTACTTTCATTCTTAGAGGTTTGTAGACACTTTTTTATTCTTGGGGGACTGATGAATGGTGTCATTAAAGAATAAGTAAAAGATTACCTGACAAACCTGGCCATTTCTATCATCTTAGAGTCCAAAATTCTTAAATGCAACTGCCCGGCTACTCAGCGATGGGGTTTCCATTGGAAATTCGAGTGCTGGAGATGCAAACACTGAAATCCCATATACGTTTTCACGTTTTGATGTCATTTTAAGGCTTGCAATCTTTTTAAATTGTCAGCTTTGATTCAAATAATTCCTGATGATCCTTCTACAAAGTTCCTTGTTCAGGCACTTCCTGTTATGGGGTGACGACGGTCTTTGAGTCTTGCTCACCCCATCACATGCACCTCTTGCGGAGACTACAAGCAGCCTGTGCTATTGCACAGGCACGGTCCACCGTTGTCACAATCAGGAAGCCAAAGTAATGATGTGCAGCCGACGCTGGAGCTAGAACATGTAGACAGGAAGTGGGTGAAAGAGGATGCCAAAAAAAAGAAAGAAACTGAAATAGAAACACAATTGTTTATGATACACATTGCTTTATCAAACTAAACTTCAAGTATTTAGGCTTTAGATCTACTTTAAAAGGGATAGTCCAATTTTTGCAACAACAACAAAAAGTAAATTCACACATATTAATAAAAAATAACATTTGCATTATTCATTTTGTTGGATTTACCCGGGAAGCATTGCAACGTTTAGATGGTAAGGCCTCAGGGGCAGGGCCCTCCTTACCATCTTGTCTTCAATTGTATTGGGATTGTAATGTCTTCCTTATATTGTAAAGCGCTGTGCAAACTGTTGGCGCTATATAAATCCCGTATAATAATAATAATAATAATAACTGCGATCAGTGGAAACAATGTTCTGGCTCCTGCAGGCTCGTCCTCCCAGCCCCTGATTGCCCCGGATTGCCAGCTAAGGGATGCGAGGTATGAACAACTTCATTGCACTTGTTCCCCATTAACAACTACAAGTCCATCTGCTGCAATGGCAGACGGGAATTGTAGTCTCTTCATTCACAGATCCTATGAAAGGATCTGTAAATGGATGACATGACTGTGATGGGGGACCCCGCGATCAGGGCCGGATTTACTCTCTCTGCTGCCCCAATGCAAGGTTCCTCAATGCGCCCCCCTGTATGCAGAATGCATACAAGTGATCTCGGCGACATCGCCCAGATCACTTGTACAAAACAAGTGGCGGCTTCCACGGTGTACCTTCCATGTACCTTCCATGACAGTCCAGTCAGCTGCCTTTAGAATGAATGTGTACTGTCTGTGAAGAAGAAGGCCGCTCGTGGCTGGACAATAAAGCTGGGCTACAATCAGGGCCGGATTTACTCTCTCTGCTGCCCCAATGCGCCCCCTGTATGCAGAACGCATACAAGTGATCTCGGCGACATCGCCCAGATCACTTGTACAAAACAAGCGGCGGCTTCCCTGCTGTACATTTAGCTCTGCTTGCCCCAAGCAGGGCTAAATGTAGAAAACAACTATCCGCCCGGCGCCCAGAACTACATGTCCTGGGCGTCGGGAGATAGGAATTCCACACAACTGCTGCCCCTCTACTCCCTACTGCCCAAGACAGAGCCTCGGTTGGCCTTGCGGGGAATCCGCCCTGCCCGCGATTCAGGTGAGTGGAGGGGTGGGTCGGGGATATAACAATGTATATATGGTTTCAAAAGTAAACTTAGCCTTTTGTCATTGCTACCACTATAAAGTGTGCCGCTTTCCCTATATTTAATAATCTACATCACTCTGTATCTAGAAAATAATCTATCTTCATTGTTAAATATGTCTCCTTGACACAATAAACCTTGAAACACTGGCCGATAGAACAAGCGGGGGAAATTTAGCTGCACGCCGAATGAGAAAACTCCCTAGAATTACCAGGCATAACAAACCATATCAACTCCATGGAGTTAAATTGAGGGAAATTCCAAGGTCACAAGGTGTACAGGGAAAGCCACTGGGAACACACAACTCGAAACTGATATTTAAATCCTACCTGCTCATAATTTCATGGAAGCCTTGCTGTAGTGTACTTCTCCACCTCACTCCACTGTGTCTGTGATCTGAAGATCAGGGAACCCCTGGCCTGTGTTGCAGTGGATGGTTTCCCAAACATGCCTCCTGCAGGCTCCAAGGGGTCTCTAGCATACAGAAGGCCTAATGTAAAACAAAATGTGGGAGGATTAGTAGATTGCAGATATAAATATATAATTGACACAGTTGAAGGGTTTGCTGAACATCATTTGAAGCTGTCTGGTGTTAACTGTTGCCAGGAGTTAGCTTCAAGTGGTCAGTCCACCCAAAAACATCTCAACATTTATTTTGGGGGGAATGTCAGGGTACATAAATAGCCCCCTGGTCCTTTTGGGTTTTATAGGGATTCTAGCAGTAAGATCTCCTGCCCATTATTGCCCACTGCTTCTCTAAAGTCTCTGCAGCGTTGTTCATGCCGTAATCCAGGGGTGGGGAACCTCCGTCCCTCCAGCATGAGGCATTGCAAGATTCTCGCAGCCGCGGGCACGACTCCCAGAGACAGATGCATCATGGGATTTGTAGTTTCCCCACAGCTGGAGGGCCTGAGGTTCCCCACCCCTGCCATAATCAAGCTAATTCAATTAGTGGAAAGTCCACCCAAAAACATTTCAACATTTTGGGGGGGATGTCAGGGTACATAAATAGCCCACTGGCCCTTTTGGGTTTTATAGGGATTCTAGCAGTAAGATCTCCTGCCCATTATTGCAAGCAATACCCCTGCTTCTCTAAAGTCTCTGCAGCGTTGTTCATTCCGTAATTCAGGGGTGGGGAACCTCCGTCCCTCCAGCATGAGGCCATAATCAAGCGAATTCAATTAGTGGAAAATCCCCAGAGGGTCAAGAACCACTTTAAGGGCCATAAAGGGAGAAGGTAGAGCTGGCGTGAAAGTAAACTTAAAATCTAAAATAAGTCCTTCTAAGACTACCCCATCCACATGGTGACAATGCTGTAGTGATTCCACTGCAGAACAAACACCCGTAGTCACCCTGTCACAGGAAGTGAATCATTATGGATCTTCTGAAAGCATCAGCAGGAAATAATAGCAGTCATTTACTAATTTCAGGCACTTAGAAACCACGAGAGAGACGTCTCACTGTATGCCTTTGTCGGCGCTGTACTGCTACTGACAGAGGCACCACTGCCGTTCTCTGTCACCGACAAAGGCATCCATTGAGACATCTCTCTCCTGGTTTGGATTTACTTTTCCAGCAGCACTACTCTAAACCCACCTGACACTTAGCTAAATTAGTAAAGCCCCGATGAAGGGAAATGTTTGGGCCCCCGAAACACATTGGCTGTCTTTCAAGTTGCTGTCTCTATGCATGCCTTTATCAGAGGTAGTGAATGGCAGTGGCACAACGGTGATGACAAAAGCATTGAGACATCATTCTCCTGGTTTGGATCGACTTTCCCTGGAGCCCCACTCTAAGCTAACATTGGGATACATTAGTAAAGCCCTCATGAAGGGAAATGTTTGGGTGTCTTTCAAATTGTTCTCTCAATGGATCAATGGATAGCTTACTCTCCTGGTTTGGATTGACTTTCCCAGGAGCCCTAAATTAGTAAAGCCCTGGTGTATAGAGATGTTTGGGCCCCCGAAAAAGGTTGGCTCTCTTTCGCATTGATGTCTCAATGGATGCCTATGTCAGCAGCAGAGAACAGGCGTGGTACCTGGGTCAGTGGCAGAACAGTACTGACAAAGGCATCCATTGAGACATCACTCTCTAAATGAGTAAAGCCGCGATGTAGGGAGATGTTTCACTCATGTATCACTGGCCCCTCCCTTCTAGATTGTAAGCCCTCAGGGGCAGGGCCCTCCTTACCATCTTGTCTTGAATTGTAATGTAATTGTAATATCTTCCTTATATTGTAAAGCGCTGTGCAAACTGTTGGCGCTATATAAATCCTGTATTATAATAATAATAATAATGTTTGCCCCCCTTCCCGAAACACTTTGTGTGCCTTATATGTTTTTTCTGCCATCATTTGCGGAATAGAATGTAATTCTGGAAATGAATGAATGTATGTTTGGCGCTTTCTTCAGCCTATTCACAAATTGATTTCTCAGTTGGGGTAAGCTCAGGGTCTGCTGAAAACCAGCCAGTTGGGGCTTTCAAGGACTTTTCGGTTCTGCTGGTTGGGGGGTCTGTATCCAACACTTAGCTCCCACTTTTCCTTAGTGTTACTGCTAGTGACAGGCTGTATCATATATTTCTTTTTCTTTTAATTTTGCCATCACAGGCAGTCCCCGAGTTACATACATCCGACTTACATACGACAAACAGAGGCTATTACTGTACAGCAGGGGCAGTTGTAATGCTACCTCGCTCGTGTTGACGAGGAGTGCCCGCCCTGCCTTTTTGGGTCCGGTTCGTAGTACTGTATGTACATTACAGGAAGTTGGCTCTTGTTAGACGTGCAGACGAGAGGTGCCCGCCTCTTCTTCCGGACCATTGTGAGGTTTTTACTGCTGTCTGTATCCTCATTAGAAAGATTTAATCTCACTTCCTGTTCTTGAGACAACAGGAAGTGAAAGGAAATCTACCCCTAGGAAGGGGAATTCAATTCCTGTAAGAGTTATCATGGGAAAAAGGTGTCTCCAGTGAAGCTTTAGATATAAAGGATGTCACCAACACACCAAGCTGTTGTGTTCAACAAATGTTCATTCAATAGCAAGTACTTTCGGGGCCTCGCAGGGTCCCCGTCATCAGGCTCAATCCATGCGAGGCCCCGAAAGTACTTGCTATTGAATGACATTGGTTGTCATTAAAATGAACATTTGTTGAACACAACAGCTTGGTGTGCTGGTGACATCCTTTATATCTTCAGTATTTCACAGTGCCACCGTGGTCACTGCAAGCACCATTTGCATAAATCCGTTAAGGAGAGCAGCAAGATACCTTCATTTTTCCACTGAAGCTTTATCACCAATCTTTGATTCCACGACAACCTAACATTTCCAAAATCCAATTGTCTCAGGGACAGAAAGTAAGGTGAAATCTTCTGAACAGGGGCGCATACAGCAAAACAAACATTACAGGGGGTTAACCCTTCCCTATGCTATCCAAAACAAGAAATAAAAATGTACCTGTTCGTCCTTACATACAAATTCTACTTAAGCACAAACCTACAGTCCCTGTCTTGTTCTTAACCCGGGGACTGCTTGTAGTTCTATTTAAAGCTGAAGTTCCCAACCAAATCAGACTCAGTCACTTTTTTCCTTTAAGGTTGAATTGTGAAAATCTGATTGGTTGGAAGAGCTCTTTCAGGCATCTGATCAATCCAGTTCATTGATTAACGAGCCTATAAAAGATTATTATGGAGAATTAAGGATAACGTAATGTTTTCTTTCTGTTGGACAGATGTCACACCGCATTACACAAAGCCGATATATTATGACAGCCGCGTCTTACCTTTACCCGAGATCCCGTTCCACGAGTCGCTGACCTCGCAGCAAGTGTCCCTTAAAGAGAAGGAGAAGGGGTCCTGGAAGCAGCTAAGCCAAGAGGAAAAGATATCACGTAATGTACCGCAATCATTTGTGCAAATACACAGGTTATAAAAGCAGGGCTCCACCCAAATCTTTGAGCGTCAGAAAGAAGTATTTGTTGAGCAGAATTACAAATCTTTCATGTATGTTTAAACTGTGCATTTCGCTGGTTTGCCTGGAGATCAGCTTTAAAAGGAAAACTACAGGGTCAGGGCTTTTCCCCATAGTTCTCCAAAGGGTAACGGGAGAACACAAACTAGCGTCCTCACGTCACCCTAAGCTCAGTATAACTACCACTTGCGGTATACTGAGATGCCGCAGTCGGGACGGATCCTGACATTACTGTCGAGATCCACCCAGCTGCGGGATTGACAGCTGGCTCTGCCTATCTAGAGGTAGAGCTAGCTGTCCCCGCCCGCTCCCCCGTCCGTTTCGCCAGTCAGCGCTGGAGGATAGGAGCGGGGGGAATCCTTGCAGGGAGCCGTGAGCGACAGTCACGGCTCTCTGCAGGGACAGGATAGAGAAGCGAGCGACGGTATGTGTTCGCTCACTTCCCGATATATTGAGCTGACGTGTGACAGTCTCATTGTCACAGGTCGGCTAGAACTATGAGGCTGAGTGATTTTCACTCCCCTCATAGTTCTCCTTTAACTATTCTTCAAAGCTTCCAAATTCTAACCGCTGCCTTCTTTCTCTCCTGTGCAGTATATCGGATAAAATTCAACCACACGTACGCAGAGATGAAAAAGCCTACCAATGAATGGAAGACCGTAATCGGGGGCATGTTGTTTTTCTTTGGCGTAACTGGTCTTATCGTCTGGTGGCAAAAAGTTCATGGTGGGTACCGTGGGACTGGCTGCTTACCCAATGCCGTTTAGGAGCAAAAAAAAAAAAATAGCTCATGTGGTATTAGTTAGTTGTTTTGATGTCAGTAGCCATGTTTGAGTACAATCAAGAGCCAAGTCTTTGACTACAGGGTCACAAGGTTTGTGGATACATGATCATCACTCCTACTTCATGGCCAGAAGAATGTGGACATCCATCCCTTTAAATAAACAAGTTTAGGCTTTTCCAGTTAAGGGTGCTGTTAATGGCAGCACATGCAAAGACACTTTAAGCAATTGTGGGCTTGTCATGTACCTGAGTGGAAACCGACAGTTGAGGAGGCTTCCCTTGCAGCTTGTGTCCCTCGACCCTAAGGATGGGGACAGAGGAGGAGTGACCGCGAGCTGCAGGTGTGCCAAGGATGTAGCAGACACTTATAGCAGGTATGACTGGGCAGGTCCAACAGGCACCAGAGGTAGACCCAGGGCCGGATTTCCCACAAGGCCCGGCCTTGGGGCAGCAGGGAGTAGAGGGGCAGCAGGGGTGTGGAATTCCTATCTCCCGATGCCCGGGACATGCAGTTCCAGGCGCCGGGCGGGTAGTTGTTTCCTACATGTAGCCCTGATTTGGGCAAGTAGAGCTAAATGTACAGCGGGGAAGCCACCGCTTGTTTTGTACAAGTGATCACGGCAATCACTTGTATGCAGCCTGCAGGTCTGCCATTCTCCATGGGGGGGGGGGGGGATGTGCATTTCGCTGGTTTGCCTGGAGATCAGCTTTAAAAGGAAAACTACAGGGTCAGGGCTTTTCCCCATAGTTCTCCAAAGGGTAACGGGAGAACACAAACTAGCGTCCTCACGTCACCCTAAGCTCAGTATAACTACCACTTGCGGTATACTGAGATGCCGCAGTCGGGACGGATCCTGACATTACTGTCGAGATCCACCCAGCTGCGGGATTGACAGCTGGCTCTGCCTATCTAGAGGTAGAGCTAGCTGTCCCCGCCCGCTCCCCCGTCCGTTTCGCCAGTCAGCGCTGGAGGATAGGAGCGGGGGGAATCCTTGCAGGGAGCCGTGAGCGACAGTCACGGCTCTCTGCAGGGACAGGATAGAGAAGCGAGCGACGGTATGTGTTCGCTCACTTCCCGATATATTGAGCTGACGTGTGACAGTCTCATTGTCACAGGTCGGCTAGAACTATGAGGCTGAGTGATTTTCACTCCCCTCATAGTTCTCCTTTAACTATTCTTCAAAGCTTCCAAATTCTAACCGCTGCCTTCTTTCTCTCCTGTGCAGTATATCGGATAAAATTCAACCACACGTACGCAGAGATGAAAAAGCCTACCAATGAATGGAAGACCGTAATCGGGGGCATGTTGTTTTTCTTTGGCGTAACTGGTCTTATCGTCTGGTGGCAAAAAGTTCATGGTGGGTACCGTGGGACTGGCTGCTTACCCAATGCCGTTTAGGAGCAAAAAAAAAAAAATAGCTCATGTGGTATTAGTTAGTTGTTTTGATGTCAGTAGCCATGTTTGAGTACAATCAAGAGCCAAGTCTTTGACTACAGGGTCACAAGGTTTGTGGATACATGATCATCACTCCTACTTCATGGCCAGAAGAATGTGGACATCCATCCCTTTAAATAAACAAGTTTAGGCTTTTCCAGTTAAGGGTGCTGTTAATGGCAGCACATGCAAAGACACTTTAAGCAATTGTGGGCTTGTCATGTACCTGAGTGGAAACCGACCGTTGAGGAGGCTTCCCTTGCAGCTTGTGTCCCTCGACCCTAAGGATGGGGACAGAGGAGGAGTGACCGCGAGCTGCAGGTGTGCCAAGGATGTAGCAGACACTTATAGCAGGTATGACTGGGCAGGTCCAACAGGCACCAGAGGTAGACCCAGGGCCGGATTTCCCACAAGGCCCGGCCTTGGGGCAGCAGGGAGTAGAGGGGCAGCAGGGGTGTGGAATTCCTATCTCCCGATGCCCGGGACATGCAGTTCCAGGCGCCGGGCGGGTAGTTGTTTCCTACATGTAGCCCTGATTTGGGCAAGTAGAGCTAAATGTACAGCGGGGAAGCCACCGCTTGTTTTGTACAAGTGATCACGGCAATCACTTGTATGCAGCCTGCAGGTCTGCCATTCTCCATGGGGGGGGGGGGGG